ATATATATACACATATATATAATTTATATAATCTATCATCAAAGGGTTGAGTTCTAAATATGTTATTGTGATATGTTTATATTGGTCATCTTCAAAATATAATATTTTCTGTGGAAAAACAAGGTGTTATTAAAAAAAGATCCTCTTGGTGTCAAGCTACATTACAGGACATAAGGTTTCATATAACTGTAATAATAATTATTACTACTTTTCTGTTGTACAAAATGTATTCATGTTTCCTGACTATACAGGTCTTCCAACATACTGTTTATGGCAATAACCTTTTGATCCAGATATTCACCCTTCTCTTCCCCTCCACCTACTCATGATTTGTACATTTGTGGGCCCATACACTTTCCTTAGACGGCATACTATCAAAAGGTAATTATTTAAGTAAGAGTTGCCTGGTTTTTCATTTTTATGTGTTTTTAGAGGGAAATAAATACATTTAACAATGGCTATTTTATACTAAGATACATATCTAAGTTTGCTGCAAAGATAATGTCGTCATGATTGTCATGCTAAAATATTATTATTATTATTATTATTAGTTGCTCCTGATTCCAAGCTTTTGTTAATATTCTATAGGAAATCAACAACTAGATCAACCATGATTGATAAAAATAACAATCCTCTAACTATATTTTATATTCCAGGGTGCTTGCCATCCAGATAAAGTTATGATAGTTAAGCTTCTACTGTACTACTGATGTCACTGATCTTCTCTTCTGGGTGTTCAACCACCAAAGTGCAGATACCAACACTAAAAGGTAACTAGGGAAGAAGACCACCAATATTTTGGCCCTGGCCCTCCAAGGTCATCAATGATCCAAGGTATGAAGGAACCTTTTCTACAATGCCTTACGTCTTTGTTAAGTCACCCAACCTCCTGAGCAGGGAAATTGCTGGACACAAGAGGACAAATGTAACATGTGCTAAAGGAAAGTCACCAAGAGAAAAAGTCTCCCATGCTTTCACTGAAAGCAACTTGGCCAAACAAGGCCCAAGACCCATCTTAACAACTGACACTGACAGAGGAGCTGAGAGTCTCTATGCCTGGTTCCACACTAATGCCTAAAGAGACTTAACTGACCTTGACAGATAGCAAGATGTTCATAATGATTAACACAGGTATCACTTTAACTTGGTCTTAAACACCCAGCAGAAAAGAATAACCAAAAGAGGCAGTACTGAATAGGCACTAGTGGTAGAGAGACTTTTGAGGCTCACCACTCCACCTCCCTATAAATGGATAGATCTCGAAGTGGTAAACCAGATAACCCAGTCTCAAAAAAGGATACAACACCTACTTAATACCACCCTCCACTATCTCCCTGTCAATATCTCAGACTATTGGATGTGTAAGTCCATTTACCCCTGCTTGTTCACTCCAATTCCCATCCCTTTAGATTTTAATCTGTCTGTCTCAAATACTGGCAATTTATCCACAGTTCTGGGACCTTTCACTATGGGTCTCCCATTCCTTACACAACCACTGACCTGACATGCACAGGACAAAATGACAACATCACGTGCCTTGCTTAATCTCCTCTTTATCTCAGAAGAGCACCTGGTCTGCCTATCCAATGGCCTAGACTTCAAATGCAGTCAGGAGGCATTACGATGCCTCAACTAATTTGAAATTTTCTGTTACGTAGCATTTCTCAGCCCTCCCTTGACCATCTTATCTATACAGAATCCCAGATGTTTGAAAGGATCCTCCCATGGTCAAAGGTCAACAAGAGGGCGGCCCTTTTCTGGTCCCCTTCTTGATGGAAGAGGGGGTCCTCACTGGCATGGCGACAGTTATAGCATGTATCTCTACCTCTACACATTTCTATCAGTCATTGTCAATAGAGATCTCAGAAGACATGGACAAAATAAGCTAATCTCTAAACACAGTCAGGACCATATTAATTCCCTAGCAGCCATTGAGTTCCAAAACAGACACACCCTCGACATGCTAACAGCAACCCAAGGGGGAACATGACAGGCTCTAGGTGAAGAGTATTTTTACATTGTTAACCAATGAGACATAGTCAAGGCAAAGGTTATATACAACAATGCTTGAAAACGTTAAGAGACAATGGGGTACGTGAGGAATGTACCAAGACTACACCTGGCTCCAAAGGATTATGTCATTGCTACTTCCTTTATTGGGCCCGCTGACCTGCTTGTGTCCTCTGGACATGGTAGGCCCGTGTCTGTTCTGCTGTTTTCAAAATTTCCTGCAGGAACACAGGAGGGCATTACTAACCAGACAGTCATAGAACTTGTCATGGTAGGGTACTGGCCACTGTGACGAAGGAAGAAGACCCTATCTATCGCTGCCCCCATCAGATACAGGTTTGGGCCCAATCTTTGCCCCTTTGTCAGCTTGAAGCAGCTCCAAAAGCAGAGATCTTTGTGCCGGGGATTTGGCTCAGTGGTTTCACCATCTGCCTCACAAGTGCAAGGGCCGGAGTTTGATCCCTGGTACCCACCCGCTCCCAAAAAACAAGAAGAGACCTTTGCCCAATAATCATAAAACAAAAGCCTGGAATGTTAGATTTCCCTTGCCTTAAGATGGCTGCTACATAAAAAGAATAGTCTTCCCCTTCCCATAATGCCCTGTTTCTCACCTAAAAATATGGCTTTTCCTACTAAAGGACAGCCTTCTTCCCATGATGACTCTTCCTGCCAAGAGAGTAGCCTGATATTACCTCCTGACGAGAACTGATGACACAACCCCCTCCTGTGATGTCACAAGCTCCCCCAATCCCTAACCACTACATCACTCAATCCCACCCCAGCCCTATAAGCCCCACCCCAGCCCTGTATGAAGTGCTCCCTGTCTTGGCCATATTGCTCTCTTCCCTTTGATTGGAGACGGCCCAGCAGATTGTCCCTGCAATAAAAGCTTGTAGTGGTTAAAAAAAAAAAAAAAAAAAAAGTTGCTGGTCCAACCCTTGTAATCCTAACTACGCTGGAGGCTAAACCAAGAGGGTCTCCAATTTGAGACCAGCCTAGGCAACATAGAAGACTCTGATTCAAATAAAAAAGAATAGGGCCAAGGATTTAGCTCAGTGGTTCTGCTGCCTGTCTTGCAAGCACGACATCCTGAGTTTGATCTTTGATCTCCGGTACAATCAATCAATCAATAAATAAATAAAAGATGAAATATTCATATATGCCCCAATGAAAACGAACATTGAAAACATTATGCTAAATAAGGAGCCAGACACAAAGACCGCTAACTGGATATTTTCCCTGTATGAAATATTCAGAAGGGGCAAATCCGCAAATCCACAGAGAGAGAAAGTAGATTATTGGTGCCAGGGGCGGCAAGCGAGGAGGAATGAGGAGTGAACACTAATGCATGTGGGATGTCTTTTGGGCGTGAAGACAATATTCTGGAATTAGGTAAAAATCACTGGGTTGTATACTTAAAAAGCGTGAACTTCATGGAGTGCGAATACTGTCTCCATAAAGCTCTTATTTAAGGGAAGGATATGAGGTGCCCTCAGCAAAATAGATTTATAAATTGTGACTAAGACCAACAACACATGATACAAGTAGAGGCAAGAACTGAAAAGAGAAAGAGAGAACGCGCCGCTGTTGTGCAGTAGGAAGACAGTGTCCCCGAGCAGTGTCCTGGACTGCATGCTGTGCTCTAGCTGAACTTTGAGAAGAAAGGGACCCCTGGAAGCTAAAGTGGCAGAGCAGTAATGCCAGTGTCATTAAAACATTTTACATAGCAGGAGTACAATATTTAATGGAAAGCGTGCAGTCTAGAAATTTCAGCCATAAGCCAGGGAACAGAGAGAGTGACGATCCTCCTTCTTGGCCAGCTGAGTCACTGCTGAAGTGTATTTCTGTACAGGCGTTTGATTTCATATTAATCACGATTGCATTTCTAGCTCACCATGTGGCACAGAGCCAGGCATTCAAAACTCACCTGTAAAACGAAAGGGTGGGGCAACTTTGTGTTTCCTGTTCTAAAATCTATGACTTGACTTGGTCCAACCCAGACAATCCAGGCCATAAGAAGCATGAAAGTCTCTCGCGCGCTCTCTCTCTCCTTGGAGGGTCTTAATGGCCACACAAATAAGAAGAAGTCAGAAATAATGGGTCAAGTCATCATTAAATAACATTATTTTATTTCACAATTAAATGCTAATTTAACAGTGAACTGCTTTGGACAGTAGAAGCACGCAAAAAGGAAACAGGAAAAGGTCACCCCAACCCTTTTCAAGTGTCCCTGCTACAAAGAGCTCTCAGCTGTTTGAAATTGTAACTGGGAGATTCTCTCCACCCAGATCTGCTTCTCTTTTGTGTTGCACTTACCAACTTCCAGTAGATGAAACCATTTACTAGTTTATTGTGTTTACGACCTTTGCCAGAGGGAGCAGACCGCTCTAACCATCCTATGCACCAAATACTGATTCTGGCTCAAAGTAGACACTCAGTATAGATGTCCTGGAATAATTGAGTGAATAAGACAGGGACTCACTTTGGTTGTTATTTTAACAACCAATGTTTTTATTGAAATTCATGCCAACATGTATGTGTGTGTTACCGTCCGCATGTGCTCAGTTAGATGGTGTAGAAAGATAACACCACCACCCTTCTTATCCGGGACCTCTGTATCTATTGATTCAACCAGTTGTGGGTCAAAAATACTCAAAAATTATTGCATGTGTATGGAAAATGTGCAAGCCTCTGTTTCTTGCCATTGTTCCCCAAGTGACACAGACGAACAACTATTTACACACATCTACGTCATAGTAGGCATGTAAGTGATGTAGTGACGATTTAAAGCACACTGAAAAGAAGGATGTTATAGGTTATGTGTAAATACTACACCTCCTTACATAAGGGACTTAAGCATATGCAGATTTTAGTACCCTCAGTGGGCCAGGTGTCCTGGGGCAGGAAGAATTGTGGAACTGAGTGGCTCATAGCGCAGATTCTGGGAAAGGAGTCCATGTTTCTTGAGTATGCTTTCCAGCTTGATAGGATGAGTTTCATAAAAGCTACTTGTGTTAACAAAAAAGAGCTAAGAAAGAAACAGGGAGGGGTGAAACAAAGGGAAGAAGAATGGATGAAAGAATGAAGAAAGAACCGGGAAGAAAGGAAGAAAGAAAGCAAGTAAGATGGTGGCAGAGGAGGACACCAGGAGGCCTTGGTCTAAGAATGTTCGTAAACAAAGGTAGTAAGGCAGCTGTGGCTGAACTGTCCAGGAATTAATTCAAATAAAGTACAAAAAAGCCCATAGAGGGCAGCCACCCTCTTACTCAGCTCCAGGGCAAGTGGCAAGAAAAGGGAGTCAAGGATGGACACAGGGCAGGACAGACCAGAGGCTACTAAGAGGACACACAGCAGTGAAACAGGAAGGCACGACAGGAAAGAAAACTCGTCCCATTTTTGTCCCTACATGTTACACACTCAGAGTCCTGATGTCCCTGTGACATCCTCAAGACTAGTAGTTCTTCCCTCTAGCCTGGGAGACACAATGCTTGACAATATGACGCGTCTGCATTTCTCTTGTCAGCTTCTTTTACATACAAAGCTTCTTCTACTACAAAGTAAGTATTCAGACGGGAACTTATTTCTCTTACTTCCAGCGCCCCAGTTCTTGCCCCCTTTAATTATATTTCACAACATAGTTCGATTGTTCCAGCCATGAGTGTGTGTAGGCAGAGTTTCTGGATATCAGACTTTATGCAAGTTGGCAGAGGAGACAGATCCTCCTCTGAGGCGACCGCTGCTTGTCTGCCCCGTGTTCCATGTTCTCTTTCTTCTTCCCACCAGAGCTTTGGTTTTGTCTGGGACTCACCTCATGCCCGACTCCGGAGAGCCATCCTGATTGGCCCTGCCAACTGTTACTGCTCTGGGGGAAAGGGATTGGTGACATGACATACATCGGTCCAGTAAGACAGAAGGCACACGTGCCGGGGCAGGTAAGAGGTGGTCACAAACCCTTTGTTCCTCCTCTCATTATGAAATGAGGCCTAGTTCCTTGGATCTAAGTTGACTCTAATGACTCTAGTGACCAAGAACATAGGCCAGAAATCCCAGTTTCCTGATACCAAATGCTAAGAAGCTGTTCAGCATCTTGAAATACCTCTCTGGGATCACTGAGCACCCCGCCCCTCTGCAACTAGGAGAGTCAGTGATCTGAGAGCACAGCTCCAGGGTAGTCAGCCGAAATGCTCCAGTCAAATTTCCCCACCGAGGCATCTCCAGCAAGGTGTCAGGGATGCGAGTGATGTCACCTTGGGCCCCAGAGACTAGCTATCCACCACCAGAATATTACTTCCACCACCAGAGTATTACCGCCATTGCTGCCACGTAAATGGAGATTGCTCTGCTGAACTTGGCCCAAATTCCTGTCCTGAACATTAGAGACATCGGCACAATATTTGTGAATTGTTGCTTTTGTTTGCTTGTTTCAGTGGTACTTGAGATTGAACCTAGCACCTTTGTGCTGTTACATCCCCATCTCTTGATTTTTTTTTTCTTTTGAGAGGGGTTTCACTAAGTTACTAAGTTGTCCAAGCTGTGCACGAACTTGTGATCCCCCTGCCTTGGCCTCTCTCAGTGGCTTTGAGCCACTGAGTTCTTTTGGGTCTTTGCACAGCAGTGTATAACTACTCTGTATGGGATATGGGAAAACATGCTCTGTGCTCAGCTGACACGTTTTTCTCCCCTGCATGAGCAAGGAAGCAGGCAGCCTTAGCAATCATCTTGTGCCTTGCAGGGAGTAGCCTTAGGATGAAGACAGCTTGCTGGGAGGGCTAAAGTGAAGACACCTGAATCCCCAACTGGTCATCATTCCAGTGGATCCTCTAGTTCTGGAGCTCCTGCTCCTGCTGGACTCTCACTGTGGGAAATAATACATGCCCTCACCATCTAGATCAGATCCCCCTGGGCTTTGTGTCACTTGCACAGAAGTCATCCTTGATGAGTCACCACTTGGGTTTGCTGCACCAGACTGCAATCTGCAAGCCCTAGGCTCCTCTGGCACTGACGCTGCTGTGTGACATTGGAGAAGTCATTCAACCCCCCCTCGACCTGTTTGCTTTGTCTTGAACATGGAAAGAAATTTTCCTGTCTCTCCCAATTTTCCAAGATGCTTCGAACACCAATGAGATGCAAAGGGCCTGAAGGAACCTGAGGCGGTGCTGGGATTCATGCAGCACAGGTCCTGCCCTCTTGGAATTTAAATTCTTAGAGGCTTTACAACATCTTTTTGCTAATGTTGTAGCATTCAAACCTTGCATCAAAACTTTGAGGTGATGGGTACTGTTGTTCCCATTTTTGTAGGGAGCAAGGTCAGACATGTTGAGTGACTGCCCAAGGCCATGCAATGATTGAGTGGGAAAGCTCGGCTGTGAGCCTGTCTCTTCTCATTCTGGGATCGTTCTCACACAGCCTCCATCACCACCCAGTCATGTAACAAGGATGCATCTATCAGCTCTTAGAAAACAAGAGTTATCGCTGTACTGACACTCTTGCCTGCACTATCTTCCGCCTCAACATCTAAACCGGACCACTCAACTTGCTACTTAGCTGTGATCTTTCTCTGGTCCTCTTTGTTGTTTCTATTTCTCTAGATCTGTCCTGGTCCTCCCACACTTCAAGCCTCACTCAGGGCCACTTCTGCTCTCTCCTCTGTGATGTGACATCGGTTACTGCTCCTTCTCCAAAGGACCCGTGCACCGGCCCTTGGCCTGGCCTGGCTTTTCCCATTTTCTTCTACCTGGATGCCTGCCTCTGCTTCTAACTG